GTTCTAGTTCTGTCCTTCAAAATAATTAAAGACTGGATTTGCCATACGGCAGGTTCTGTCTTTCTCAAAACAGAACRGGAGTGGGAAGCAACAGAAATAAAAATATATAAAAGAAAGCAGAAAGGGGAAAGGATTGCTGCAGGCCTCCAAATTCCCTTTATGAAAGACAAAGGCTTTTACCTTGACTGAGGGCAACCCCACAGGGTAGGATACAAACCCCACTCCTGTTGGGGTGTGACGCTGAGCACTCACCCTGCTCTTTGCTGTGACGTGTCAGGGGGTGGATTGCCACAGCACCAGGGAAGGGTCTCCTGCAGAACCAGCTCCCCACCAGGAGCCAAGGGACAGTCCCAGCTTGCACTGGTGAAGATTTGACCCACCTGWGACAAATGTAGTGCAGAGGAATGATATTGGCCTTAAACCAGCCAAAGGAGATGTGCTGAGAGTGGCTGCAGTAGCACACAGAAATATCCTTCCGTGGAACCACAAGAGAATATCAGTTGAGAGACAAGCCTCACCTTTTGGTGAATATTGATCTTGGGCTGGACTTTGCACAACAACATTGCAGAGATCCCCACAAATCCATACACAGCGGGTCAGGAGAAGAGTGCAACAAGCTAGCAGAGGAATTAAATTAATCTCTTGCATCGTGTCTGCCGCTGAGTGTAGTGTAGAAATTCCTGTGCCAAAGGCACTTTGCAAAGAAAATCAGAGTGTGGCCTTTATACAGATTGAAGTCTCTAAGGAGGAAGTTGTAGAGTAACTTGAGAAACTCAAGTGCAGTAAATCACCACAACCGGATGGTGTTCATCTGGGAGTTCTGAGAGGAAATAAAGTGAGAAAAAGCCAAGATACTGACAAGAGGATGCCTTCTTCCCTTGAAAAATGCAGCAGCACAAGAAGGCTGGGAAGCCTATTATGTTGCCTGTCTTCAAAAAGAGATGAGGAAAATTCTGGGAAAAGAAGAGCTTTGAAGTTTGCCACAGTTTTAGGGAGCCCGAAAAAAMCAGTTCTGAATAACAACTCAAGAGTGTTTGTTGCACAAGACCACCACATGAAGGTGTGCTTCACTCTCCCAAACCATGAGATTGTTACAAGGGGGGAAAGTGCATCTGTGTAGCACTGGGTTACTTTGAAAAAACATTGGAGCAGTCTTCAGAGGAAAAGAGGGATAATGGGGTGTACTCAGAGAAAGGTGACCAAATAATCCAAATATTCTAAAGGTTTTACAAAGCTCACTTATAAGCAATTGTCACAGGGAATATTAAGGAGCAAAACTGAGATCCTGGAATGARCTACCAAACAGTCTGGAAGAAGGGAACATAGAAGCATTTCTCTTTCTACTTYGTTAGCGAAAGGTGAACATCCAGTATCAGGTATCAGGACTTGTGTCATAACAAAAAGATGAATCCCAAATCCTAATACATTCAAATTAGGGTGCCCAGAATCCATCCAAGATCTGGATTCAAGTCACACATGTGGTTCCCATCTTAAAAGAGGACAAATCAATTCCTGGGCTGAAACTCCTGAGGTTTGTGCTCTGAGGTTTGAATGCTCCATATTCAAAGACTGAATCCAGCCTACACGACAGCTACGYATGAAATATGGGAGGCGAGAGGAGTGCATGTGTACACATAGCATGCAAAGGAAGCAATTAAATGTAAACCCAACACAATTTRAAAAGTGATTCATGGCAAAAAGTGTTCTTATGCAGAGACTGTAAGTATTTGTTCTTTACATTAACTTTCTGTTAGCCAGCTGAAAGGGCAGAAGATTGTAAGTAAGAGGACAGTGGGAATTTTGCTGGGTTTGGTGAGCCCGCTTGCAATCAAACATTTTAAATTATCTGGATTCACATGGCTTTGTGCCCTTTCATTTTCTCTCCTTGGTGTTTTGTTTTTTTTTCTTTTCTTTAGTTCCTGTAGTCCTGTAGTGTACTGAAGGCAAATCTTCTTCAGTTTTAATTCGCTTTGTCTCTTGAATTCATTAGATTCTGAAAGCTTTCAAAGGAAGTCACAGGTAGGAATTAGAGAAAATATAGAAAGTGGGACACTTCTGACTGGCTTGTATGTTTCCAGCGTCTAAAAAGAAAGCCTTTTTTTTAAAGCAAACTGTAGGAGGGTTTGTAAAAATAGATATTTACATTTACATACTGGGACAGATCCTCAGCTGCCATGAGCAGTATTGCTCCATGTTCTTGAACAGAGCTAACCCCATTCAGCACAGCTGAGAACCTGCCTCTCACACCTGTACATATATGAGTGGAACATGTTCAGGAGTCTGTGTTTTTCCAAATGTACAGAAAGCTGCTTCTCCCTCCAGGTGCTTTTGCCTGTGCACTAAGTTGTGGGAGTTACAGCTCCTCTGCTTTTAACTGAGGATGCTGTCTTCAGGGAGGCACGGTGCGAAGGAATGTTGAAGTGTAACAAAGGAACTGGCATGAGCACAGAAACCCAGAGRAGAAGGTGAGGGAGAGAAACAGGAAAGAAAACAGTATCCCACATAGCCACGCTGTGCCAAGCAACGTCTGCGTTCACAGCAACAGGGAGTTAAACTGGGATTGTGCAGCAACCACSACTTTTGGAAAACAACTCAGGTGTTTCCAGCTAGGTAGCAGGAATAGCAGGAGACCTGTTACTGATAGCAGGGTGAAGAAAAAGCAGCTCCGTGCTGTTGCAGGARTCACATAACACAGGACAGGGAGTAGGTGTCACATCAGATAGTGCTAATAGGTGCCAACAGCCACCTTCACCCCTTTCCCCTCAGTCTCTCCCTGCGTGAGAGTCAAACGAATATCAGTGTGAAACAACTGCGTATGACCGTGTTCTTCTGCCCACACAGTGGGACCCTGGTAGTGATTCAGCCTGTACTGGACCCTGGACACGTAATGTACACGGAATATCCATAATAAATAATAATTACCACAGTAGGGGGCAGCAGCCAGCTGTGGAGGGAGAGTAGGGCCAGCTGCTGGAAGAGATGTAGGCGCTGGCTGAGCACGCAAGCTGGGCACTGGGGAGGGCGAGAGGGCCATGGCTGGGAGCCAGTGGCAGCTTACTGCCAAGAAGAGGGAGATAAAAGCACAAAAGAGTTTCACCAGAGGGAGCTGCTCCTGGCCACCCCTCAGCAATCGGTAGCGGCCCTGATCCAGGAGGGAAGGCTGATGGCAAACAGGAGCATCGCCAGCCTGAGTGCGTGGCCAACACTGCTCACACGGACCGTGCTGGAGCTACAGAACGGGGGTCTGCAAGCCAAGCAAGCCTGCTGCAGGGAAACAGCCCTGCACAGCCCTCTGGCTTGCAGGAGACCCACATCTCCTCCAGAAATGAGGACAGACCCACCCTGTTCCCCTCGACATCTCCCCAGATGCATCTCCAGCTAAAGCAGGGTCAATACTCCAGAAATGAATGCAGCTCCACAAAAGACCAATAGGCACATGGTCAATGCTTTTCTGAACCCCCTGATGCTCAGGTCTCCTTGATTTCATTTACAGAGAAGTGTCCTGGCAGCTCAGAAGATCCCCAAACAGCAGCACTATTACTTGTCTGAATTCCTTGGAAGGCCTGACATTTAGCACRTGGGTTCCCGAGGTGAGGTGGTAAACAAAAAACTGCTTTTGAACRCACTGTACACACTCAGCAGTCCAGTGATCCAGTACAACTAAATTTTATCATAGATYTAAAATATTTTTCTAAACCCTCTGAAAAGTAATTTCTAAGACCAAATCAACTGACAAGTCTCATTTTCACAAGGTTGTTCATGGCATGCTCCCCACACACTGACTTCAAAGAATCAATAGGATCCCAGGGTTAGCTTCTCTATTTGCCCCACATGGAATACTTAACTATTTCAGCAGCACAGCACAACAATTAATTAGGCCATGTTCTCTGTAATAGTTATAACAATGTGGCATATTTCCCTCGAATGTAGCTTAGTGAAATTTACTTATATTCATGTCTTACCTTCAAGCATGCTTTCTGTGCCTGATTTTCACTGAGTTGAACTGCAAATAGATAAAACCTGTTTGCTTTTCTCTCCCAAGAAGGAGCATGTGTATTTCCAGATTCTGTTCACATTCACCAGGAAAAGTCACACACAACAACTGAAGCTTGGTTGGGTTTTTTGGGTTTTTTTTTTTTTTTTTTGCTGTGTCCCTGGTTGGTTGAGCATAGGGGGCGTGATACGGGTATATTAAAGGAAAGCCTCTTTTCCTCCATTTCTCAACATAGAGGCTGACTGATTTTTCAGACCCAGTAAAAAGAAAGAGCTACCATCTGAATCTCATTTTATGCAGCCTRCAAAAGAGTAAAGAAATTGATAGAGGAGATCCCAGGCAAATAGGGTATGGTATCAGGGAGAAACATCCATCATTGTTGCAGGTAATAAACAAACATAATCCATGTGTGAGCTCAAATGCAAATTCATGGGCCACAAAAATGCCTATATGTTGAACATACATGCAGTTCAAACACAAAGAACCAGATTCTTCTGAATAACTTATATCTGAACATCTGACCTTAAGAACCAGCCTCAGTTAAGCTCTGGCAAATGCCAAGATTTGGAARGAAGTTCGGGGTGTTGCACTATTTTGAAAGCTCTGTTTTGAACCAGCTGTCATTATGAATGTCTGCTGGTACCCCGTCTTAGCATACAGCCTGTCACTGTTGAGCATCATGAGAATGAGCCAATGGAGTATATTCAGCTATGCTTTCTTGCATGTCCTTGTAGCTCAAATTATCCCTTCACACAGCCATAACAGGTAAGCTTTGAATCGATTTATGCCACATTCTAATTGGTTCCATTTAACTTGCATGCATGTCTCACTATGTGTGTTTGTATATACATATATGCATATTTATATGCACATATTGTAGTTGGACATCATTATTAAAAGTAAGTATGCGTATTGTCACAGATTATTGCCATGTTCATAACAGATTCTTAGAGTAGTTGCCTTTATTATACAATAAAACCATAGAAATTTACTGCCTTCTTTAGAATAAATAAGGAACACAGGACTCATTGTACCATATATGTTTAATAGTTTGGACATCTCAGTGCCCACATAAAAACAAGGAAACATATATTGCAATAGGCAGTATAATTATTTCAGTGAGGAACATCCATCCCACACTCYTAGAAATATGAGATTCAGCATCACGAGACTCTAGAATTATGTCATCAGCTGCACGAGTTTCACAGCTTRTCTTTATGATTTTATGTTACAGAAGTAAACTCCAACAAAAATGTATAACACTGCCAATTTAACAGCACGTTCATGCTAATACTAGCTGTGAAGATTTCAAAAAGGTGAATAGGATCAGCATTTCTCTACATATGTGTGCACTTACATGTATAGATACATGCCTACACACGCATGCAYACATAAATGCACACATATATGTGTGTGCTACGTATATATACTCTCTTTATATATGCCATTATTTTAAAAGATTGATTCTAAGTACATTAAAGTTGCAAACAGTGTTCCATACAGTTGACCAATTTAAAGTCCCTGCTGGTGCACAGAAGATCGAGCTAGCTGAGATCATTAAGCGTCATCGGATGAGGCTGCAGGTAGCTGAAACATTCCTTAATGAAAATTTAAAGAGAGCAGATTAAAATTATATTCCTCCAATCCAGCAGAACACAAAGGTAAAGACAGTCAATTACAACCAAGATCTCATTTAGCTCTAAAGGAGTGTTGTAGTTTGTAGATCAGAATTTATTGCCTGAAGAGCTAGGCTTGTGACTATGTATATAATTACTTTCTGCAATGTATTCTAACACTCAGATGTAGTTATGGAAGATGACGTCTTCCATAATTTTAGTCTGTTATGTTCATGACCAAGAGTAAGAAAATATCAACAGCAACAAAGATCTTTTCATCTGTGCTATTCTGTCTTTTTGCATTATGAGAGATAAAATAAATGCAACATGACATGTATTTTTTTTTTTTTAACTCCTAGGTTAAATGTTTTAATAGTGGGGTTTTTTTGCCAATAAAGTGGCATCAAGAAAGTGGTTCGAGAAGGATACTCTACCTGTGTTCTTGTTCAGAATGTTTGCAGCTTTTCCCTGGACACATCAGGAGGGGGTTTCAGTGAGAAGACACTCAGGGTGCTCAGCTCTATACCAGATCTGTCATTAGATCAGAGAAATGTGTCACATCTTTTAATTCTCATAACTAAAAAAGATACTGACAGTCAGTGGTGTGACTAGAAGAGATGAAGAATAATAAGAAGGCTGAAAGGACTTCTACATTAGGGAAGATTAAGTGAGCTAAATATCTATGGGTTGCCTTAATGCAAGCTAAACACAACATCACACTAGTTAAAAGAGATCAAAGAAGGGAGAGAAGGAAATTTGCAAAGGGACATAAAAAGAAGAAATATGATGACATTAAGAAAGGAAAAACCCCTGACAGCAAGATATTCTAGGCAACACAACCGCTCCCTTGAGACATGGCATCACTTAGGAAATTTAATCTAGGCACAAAAACCCCACAAAAATATGCCATCAGAAACAATTTCATTGTGCCAGGGAGATGTTACTGGATGACCCAAAAGATACATTGCTAATTGGTGCGCACCTGTTATCTGTGATTTTCCTTGCTTGTATGGCCAACTCATTGTTACTTGTCTGTATTTGGTTTCTCTGGGTCCAATCCAACTCATGCTGCAGTGAACAGAAGTTTCCAACAGGAGCAATAGGACCTCGATGTCTGTTCCAAGTCTTTACTATTCTAAAAAGAAGGGGAAAAAAGCCCATAATACTCTGCAAGAATTATTAATGCATCCAGTATGAATGTGTATTAAACTAAACCAGATCGGTCCCTTAATCCAAACCTTTTTGGATATTTAAACCTGTGTCTACACTTAGAGATATGCCAGGAAATGTGCATTTGATTTCACTTGGTGCAGCTAAAATTTTTGTTAGGGAGGAAACTTACAGCTCATCTAAAAATAACTTYTAATGGAAAACTGTTTTGGTCATGGAAGAGTGAAGAAAATCCTCTACATTAAACTAAAAACAAAAATTATATATTACACAGAAATGGCAGAGATATTTCTATTGCTCAAGCAGCAATACAACTGATGAGGCTAACAATTAATTCTGAACCCAAGACCATAGTTTTCAAATACTTTTACCGAATGTTAAAGTATAGTATATATAATATATAGTATATATAATCATCAGTGCTTAAATTMCAGTTTGCTTGCAGGTAGGGAATCACTATTTTGTGGCAGCTCAGTGTTGGCCCCTTGAGAGACACAAATTTCCGTGTAAGTAGGGCTGAATGTTCAGGGGTCAGGGCTGTGTGTTGGTGTTGCCCGTATATCTGGCGGCTGATATTGTAAATCTTTAGAGCAACGTTTCTTGAAAATACTAAACAGACATTTTGGTAGCTGGTATTGAGCCTGTGGCTATACTGCTTCAGGCTGTGATCTTGTCAGCTTTTACAAGATAAGTAGGGTCAGGCAGGGTCATCCCTTGGATTGGTAATTCTAAGGAAAGGCAGGAGCTGCCGGAAGTGTCTCAGGCAGTAGAATAGCTGTAAAGGTTTTCCCTGAGTCCTTTCTAATATCCTGATGAAGGCATAATGCCAAGCTGTGACACAAGAGCAAGATCCTCACCCTCTGCAGCCATCAGGTGCATYATTTTCAAAGGGGTTTTTCCCTGGCGTGGAGGTGTGAGGTGTGGTATGTGGGAGATGGCAAAAGTCAGGTGCTGCTTGCACACACGGTCCTGGATGAACACCATGGAAATGTGTGGTTCTAGCATGTTTCATCAGCAAGGAGGTACAGGTGAATGACCTTTCTGACATCTTTGGAGATGCTGGCAGCTCCAAATTAGGTTTTGTCCAAGTCTATAAAGTAAAAGAMAAGCTTATTGAGTGAAGACTTTGTACACTAACTTTCAGCCTCACACACTTATACAGAAAGTATAGAAGGGTTCATAATGAAATCCTTGCCCAATGGCCTACATTGCCAAGAATTTTAAATTGTARGTTAACCAATTTTTCTTCTAAAGTTCAAACAATAAATAAAATTCTATGTGAAAAATGGAGCCTTTTATTCCTTTGTCATAATCTGATCAGAGTAAACTACAGATGTTAAAAGGCACTGTAGTTCAAAGAATTAAAAGAATCTTACAGGGTTTGTACAAAGAAAAGAGTTTTAGAGAATAATATGGAAAATATTATAATGCTATTATATAAATCAGCGGCACATCCTCACTTTGAATACTGTCTTCAAATTTGGACACCTCATACCTGAAAAAAGAAAGTAGAAATAGAACAAGTCCAGAGAATGGTAATAAAAATGATAAAAGTCAAAAGAATGGGAAAGTTCTTGAGAAAAGATAAAGAACATAAGTACCAGCTTGTCTCTCAGGAAAGATTCATCCTCATGGGACATTCATAGATGTGGAACTTAGGGACATGGTTCAGTGGTGGACTTGGAAGTGTTAGGTTAGTGGTTGGACTCAACGATCTCRGTGGTCTTTAATGATTCTATGATTCAAATCATACTGAACTGAATAAACCCTTTCCATAAACTTAGAACACAAGCTGTTGTCTGAGACAATCTAGAGGATTTCCTTGGACCCCAGCAGTTCTTCTGGGAAGCTCTGGGCCCTTGCATGAATCAGAGATTGCAGGTGTTTTCCTCAGCATACCCTGTTCTCTTGGAGAGCTTTCAGCCACTGGAGGCCAACCTGGCTCATGGACAGTGGACAGGACACAGAGCACATATTAGAAACACTTGTTTTCCTTTGTTAAATCATAGGATCATGGAGTGATTGGGGCTGAAATGGACCTTAAAGATCATCTAATTCTAACCCTCCCAGCACAAGCAGGGATACCTTCTATTAGAGCAGGTTACTCAGAGCCCCATATAACCTGACCTTGAACATGTTCAGAGGTGAGGTGTCCAATGTCTCTGGGCAACCTGCCTTACCACTGTTGGAGAGTTTCTTCCTAATATCTAACCTAAATCTATTCTCCTTCATCTTAAGGCTATTCCCCCTTGTCCTGTCACTACACATAGTCGTGAAAAGTCCTTTTCCAGGAACTTGACTATATTCCTAACTCATTTTTGGGTCTAACTTTTAGAAACTTCACTTTTCCCTACCTYTCTTTCAAACTTCTGAAAGGCATAGGTGATTGAGAGGTACGAATCCATTGACTTGACTGGCAACCTTTTCAGTAAAATCACTCATCTTCCTCAAAAATGTGTTATTAAAATAGTCTCAGTCCCACAGGAGTTAACAGTCTCCCTCACTTTGTGTGATGGGATCCCCAGGTTTCSTCAGAATTCTACTTAAGCATGACTATAATATAAATAACATTTTGTCCTCAAGATCTCCGAACTTAATTAGCAGCAAAGGAAAAAAAAAAAATCTTTCCTACCTGCAAGATGAAACAAAAAGGTACTGAATTTCAAATGGATGAAAGGTATTGCTTTCCCAGACAATGTACAGCTAATTAATGGAACTTGCTACCACATGGTTACTACTGATGGAAACAGCATCATATTTGTAAATGAGGAGTGATTTTTAGGCATAAAAGCAAATCTTCACACAAAGTTCAGGTTGGGTCAAGTTCAGTAGCATGCATTATGTAGAAGGTCAGATTAGATGATAACAATAGCTGCTCCTAGCCCTAAAAAATCTGTTTACTAGCCAATACTATGAATGATGTCTAATCATCCCAGTGGTTCATGGCATGTGCCAGTCAATAGGCAGCGTTGGGACAGCACCTTCACCCATTGTAAACCATCACACTGGGCCTTCAGAGGGTCAGGAAAGTCTAGGAGGCTTTTCAATCTAGTGACTGTCACATCTCTTTCTAGAGATCCTTTCTCCTCCAGCCCTGTATGGGAACCCTGGAGGCATCAATCACATTCATGCTAGCATGGTGTGTCTTCAGSTCTGTCTGCAGATCAGGAAGAAGTAGTTCATTCAACAAGGTCTTGGGCAAAAACACTTTAGAGGAAAATGAGGAAATCAAGAGGTCAATCAATGTTTGCAATTAGCTGTATCTTTTTGACCTCCAGCACACACTGGAGTGCCAGTGCCCCATTACCCAGACCAGCATCCTTTCCACACCCATCTAAACCCAGACCCACCCACAGGAACCTGTGGAGGCAAAAGGTCCCTCCTCAGCTGCCCATGTTTGGGTTGTATAACTGACCCTTGGAAGCAGGACAGCATTCCCCATGGGCAGGRGTGTTCTAGGATGTTTCTGGCACCCTTTCTTCCTCAGATATCCTAAGGTGGGGACAGAAGCCAGGAGTTCTCATTTGTCCTTATTGCCTTATCTCATGTTACCTCACTGTGGTGGAGCATGATAGACTCCTGACTCATCTTTGATCTGTGAATAATATGTTAATGCTTACAAGGTACCAAGAGAATAGAGGCATTTTTTGCCATGATTGCACTTACCTTCAACTTCTGTCATCTTGCAGGCCCCGCAAGAAATCAAGGAGGATGTCTTCTAGTGAATAGTTCTGCTGGAGCCATTGCAGTTAAGGGAAGTTGTTTCAGCCTTGTAGGCTGAAAAAGTTATCTACTGGGGGAAAAAGAAAAAAAWATTAAAAGGGGTAAATCAGCTCCTTACTCTAGTGGTTTTATACCAGCAAGGTGTACTTTTATATAAAGTCTGAGAACACACATAAAGTAAGCACAAAATGCTCTTGCAGTTGTTATTCCAGGATGTTTGTAATGGCAAGCTAGACTGTAAATTATTTCTTTGGAGGGCAGAAAGCACAGTGGAAATAATGTATATTATTCATAAAAATGATTGTCCTGTTCACTTGTATACCTCTGCAATTTATTCTGTAACAGCTTTTTACTTCAAAGAAATCACTAGCTAATGACATCTCAAACTTAAAAAAATCCACTTATTCACAACCCTGTCCCTGAGGGAATTCCTGCATGTTATCAGAAATTTTTCCAAAGATCATTAACAGATATTACAAACCAATTGAAACTGAGTATTTTCTTTGCAAATTACTTTTAACTTTAGAGCTATTGAAAAAAGACATTGAGTGATTTAATTTACTTAATCTGTCTACAGATTGCAGCTATGTGCATATCCTGTGATTGCATTTCCAACAAAAAGCATATATAACTATCCCTAATAGGGATATTTTTCTAAATTATCGTACAAGATCAGTAAGATCTCTGCAGATATTAATGTTTACTTTTTCATTTAGAAAATTGCACTCTAGAAAGAAATGAGCACCTTTATTCTGTTGTTATTTTAGAAATAAWAGCACACTATAATACTTATTTTACCTGCTATTTTAATTAAAACTCCAATAATCATCATATCCTTTGAGGATATGTTCTACTGATTTTTCTGAAAAATCACTGTATTTTCATTAGGCTGTGAAGACAATGTGTTAGAAACACCCTTACTCTGCAATGAGTATACCTAAAGAGATCCTCTATCTTGAACCAATCCAAAACAGCAAGCTAATTCAGCAGTGGAGGGCTGGTGATCGTGTCTGATTCTGTACCTCATTGCCTTAAACTCCTCCCAGAGAACCTTACGTGTGTCAGCACCATTTCTGCAGGAAGGATCAAAAATCTCTTCCCCCATGAAGCTTGCTGCTTCCTAGCTAAGTTTCCTGCTCTCTTTGTAGATAAGAGACAAGGTCTTGAGGCCCCTGAAGCTTGGGTGGATTTTGAAGACATTGACTTTGAATGGCAGCAAACACAGCTGCTGCACTTTGTGTGCTGCTCAGTCCTSATCCTGTGTTACATGTGCTTTGCCAGGACATTCTTGGTACGCATATGGGCAAAGCAAGGRCAGTTTGATGAGGTGAATCAGGATTAACTGCTGGGAAGTTCAYCTTAGCTGAGCTGGTGACTGGCCAAGTGGCATGAGCAGAAAAAAAGGGTTAAGATGTCTTAAGATTTTTCTTATAAAAAATGCAGGTGATGAACTTAGGGGGTAAATAGATTGGGAACCTGGAATTGGACATCTATATCCCACAAGTCTCTGTCACGCCCTTATGTGGCCTTGTGCCCAAAGATGGCTATTCAGAAAAGGACCCAGGTTTTTCACAGCAAACAGGTACCTAAACATCATTTCTTATTTTTCTTTGAATGGTGGGGCAAATGTGCAGAAAGGGTGACAGAGAATTTGCAGGCRGTAGCACCTTCCTCCAATACTCTGCATCTTCCTGTCGGCAGGGTCAGAGGTTTGGGACCAGTCTAAAAACTTCTCCATTCCCAGTACTGTTGAACTCTCATTCTCTTGCTATTTGCCCTTCCAGGGTTACACCAGAAAGATCTTGAAAGGATTTCTTTCTTTCCCAGTTTGAAAAATACATGGGGTCAGTAACTTAAGCAAATTTTCAAAYTGATTTTTTTGAGAGCTGAAAAAATTACTCCCTGAGCTACCTGATGTCCAATTTTGTCCTGTAAAGATTAAGAGACCATAAATCTTTACAAAAGTCCCATGTTATTAGCTTGGCAACTTGTTCCTGCCCACCATCCTGTGGAGGTAAGTAGGAATGAGAAAGAAGAACTGGTTGCTACTGAGCAATTAATATCAGAACAGGTTACTGCTTGTTTTTAACCCACGTTGCACACAGACAAGTGCAAAGGGAGGAGAGCATTCCCTATTTTCCTGAAAAAGTTGCAGCCCCTCGCTCCTGATCTTCATTCACCCTTGAGACCTGCTCAAGGCACTTCTCCAGTCACAGTCCAAGCCCCTAGTTTACAGCCATAATAGCTCTGCGACTGTCAGTAGATGTCTCTGTGAAATCCAACTGCTTTTCAGAATCCCCTGCTTTTAGACATGTTTCCCTCACCCTTCTGCCACACACATGCAACTGGCATTACAGAGTCAGATCAGATGGCACACAAGGAAAGCCAGAGCCCCAACACATTTGCCAGTGGCTTTTGCTTCATTTAGCAGTGCAATCTCTTGTGCATATCTATCTTCAGGGACGAAGAGCTCCATCCTCCCTCTCTTCCATCCCACCTTCCCCCTCCCAGGTGCCTTGTGTTGCTTGTGCTTTACTACAACCACCCGCCTGGCACTCTGGGCTCCTTCTGCAGCTCCTTGGTGACGGGTGACAGAAGCCACCACTGTGCCTCTGTCAGGGTGACCTGGGCTTTCCACCCGCCAGCATCGGGCGCTGTGCCATCAGCTGCCAAATTGGCACAGCTCCACCGGCTGAGGCGGCTGAGCGCTTCTGTTGTCACTCAACCCAGGACATCTCCGTGGAGTCTGATAACACATCTGCTAATTAATGCCAGTTGTGATCATTGGTCAGATCCTCAACTGGGTTAAATGGAAACGGGTCCATTTAAGCCTGTGGCAATTAGCAGCTGCTTAGAGCTGACCYGATGGTTTTCTCTATAACGTGAATATATGTCTTGTTCAAAGTGAGGAAAATCCACCAACAAATTGCACAAAAATTACCAAATGATCAGAAAATTAAATGAGTGTTAGTAATTCCCAGCCCAGGCCAAATTACAATGGCAAAGAAGTAATAGCCCCAGGTGTGTTACCAACTCTCTCAGCTAACCAAGYTCCTTATAATAAAAATAATTTATAATAATAGACGTGTTTCTGGACACATTCACCTTTCTGTAAAGAAAGCCCAATGAGTCTGTCTTTTAAAAAACAGACTATCAGAAAATTTAAATGTGATTCTATTAACTTGTAAGCATAGTATTTTACATTTTAACAATAGAACAGATCAAATCTATTCTTGAATTCAGTTTTTAAGACTTATAAGCAACATCAGTAAGTAAAAAGGAACAGTTCAAGAAATTTCTTTGTATTTTTTCTGCCTTTTGTCAAAATTTTATTTCTATCAATACTTCCACCATGTTAGGTTGTATCGCCTGCCCTCTCAACCRTAACAAGCAGAGTTGTAGTAGGTATTAAATCTTAAACAGAGGTAAGTAAGGCACTCCCAGAAATAAAGMAAAAGTTTGATAGGTTGTGTCAAAAGGAACTGCTGTTATTATTATAATTTATTATTTGTTAAGCACTGACAATATGCTCAGTTCTGCTGATTAAGTTTTTCTGAGCAAGTTCTACTGATTATCTTCTGAGGACAACACACTGTACTACAAAGAAGATATGTGACARCTATCAAGACTTTTGCTTTCAAGACTCACTTAGCAAAACAATTACATGCCAGTTATGCAGGTTTTATGGAAAAAAAAAGAGAGAAAATGCATAAACTGAGTAAATATCATGACTTTTGTGTTCACTAATTTTCCTACTCCAGATCTCTCAATTCAGGACTGTCTGACAACCTCAAAGTTACAGTGAGATTTGAGGAAGATCTAAGGCCTCATCCCTGTTTATATTCAGTTATAAGCATCATGCTATATTAGAGGCAAGCACACAGACTGTATTGTTAGAATCTGTCTTTGGATCTGGGACTCACTCCCCAGCAAGGGCAGAGATGGCTGAATGGGGCCACCTGAGACAGACGAAAATCAGAACAACTTCATACTCACACATGCATTTCCTTCATGCCACAAAACACATCAGACAGAGCTGGCCAGTCCTCTACTGGTAGGTGGTGACATGACCTTAGAAAGACATTTAGGGGTGCAGTTGCAAGAAGGGAGCATTTCCTATCTTTGCTAGCCTGTCAGGGCTGTTTCTCTGACAGACCTATTGTTAAGTTTCTCCACCCTGAGCTATAGGCATGTTTTTGCAGGTCATCTAGGAGTCAGGGATGTGGGATTTCTGCTGGTCCAGAGCCACTGCAGTTATTCTATACCCGAGAGGCTGGGTGAACTTTGTGCCTGGTTTATATCTACTTTAGCATGTAAAGGAATCACAGTTTCTTCCTCCACCTTTACCCTTAGATCATTTATATTTGCTTACCTCCAGGGTGGAAGATTGCCCAAAACAAGCATTTGACAGCAAAATAATATCCATGCATCTCTGTGTACACAGCAAGGGATGTGGCTGAAGCCTGCTCTAAGAATCTCTGGCCAAATTTGCCAGTCAGTAGGGTGCCAAACAGACATTGTCCCTTGCCCCAGCCAGGCAACACCTAGGCTTTCAAACTACAGCGATGCCAGAGTTCCAGCTGTGCAGATGTTCTTAGAAGAAAAACGCCCTTTTGTCTGCTTCTATCCTTTAGCCTTCACACTTCCCTAAATCCTACCAGCATGCTGGTTTGTTTGTTTGTTTTTTTGGTTTTTTTTGTAACTGACAGAGAGAAGTGAGTTCTTATATAAATCTTTTGTGTGAAGATCAAACTGTGCGCGTGTAGAACTATTTTTTTTTAGGGGAAAATCTGCCCTAAAATAATCATTCCATGTTATCCTCACAGAGCGTCTGCACTGCCTTTTAAAATGCATCAAGGCCACCCTCAAGACCAGACTGAACGCTGGCAGGCAGCGGGCTGCAGCTGAAATCTCCGTGCATGTGGGGAGGGCAGAGCGTGGGCAGCCCAGGGCAGGACTGGGGTCAGGGGCAATGCAGCTGGAAGGGACCGTAATCTGAGTTGCTCCCTGCAGACAATGTCAGCCTTTGTGCTGACAGAAACTTGTGGGGTAACGCGGGAGCCGGGCTGGGTCATGTGAAAAAGGTGTTTCTTTACCTAGCCAGCTTGGACTCCTCAAGCATCCAGCTGGCAGACCCTGAGGTTTCAGTCAAATCTTGTAAGTTAACATTAGTTTACTAATAGACCGAGGAGCAGAGGATTTGGTTGAGAAAACATAGCCTTTCATTCATGAACTCAGAAACCCTTGTAATGGAGAGGAGAATCAGCAAAAATGATCGACTGATAACAGTACTATTGGGAAATTCTTAGCAAAAAAAAAGAAAATACTAAAGAAGATAGGCCCCAAATGGCAGTACAACAGCAATTTTAGGGTCAATTTCAGTGCTGCTTTGTGTTTCACTATTTACCAATTTAATTACCGGCTAGAAAAATGATCGGGTATTAGGTATACTGAAGCCTCCAGGTGTGACACCAAGCAGTAGCACAACTCACTGTAGCAGCTTATCTTTGGGAAATCTCCTTCTCTCCCTTTTTCACTCTTTTTCTTTCTTACTTCTTATGCTCCCAAATTCCTTGAATACAATATAGTCAGAGTTTTACATCCAGCTCTAATTTTCCCAGAAGGRGCAGGTCTTTAAAAGCAGCACAGGTTGTTTTACTCAAGACAATRAAAAATGGACTTGCACTCCAGTGCAACAATAGAATAGACAGATGAACCAATTCCATTAAAATGGAAACATTCTACCTGCACCCATCCCCCAACAAAGCTTTTGCCAAAGCTGGAACAAAACTCTAATCTAGCCTTTATTAAAATGGAGAAAAATCAACTTCCTTTCACTTCCCCATTCATTTTCCACCACTGTGATTTTCTAARTTTCAGGCAAGCTTGTGACCAAGAGCTGCAGGGCCAAAAGTGGCTGGATGCGCTGTTTTCCTGGCCCAAATGGAAGCAGGAAATACTAAACATCTTGCATGGAAGCCTGTTCTCATCAGGTTTATAGCCCAGCTTTTTTCATCAAAAGCAGTGAGGATAGTACACAGTTCAGAAATGCATCCAAGCATATGGGAGTCTCTCTACACTAATCCTCCTTTTGAGCTTCATCCAGCGCTAAATCAGAGCCACACCAGAGAGAGAAATAATGCAATAACTTGTGTGAAATACATGGCTCCTCTCTRTTAGGGTACAGAAAACCAAAAATTACTCACTTTTCTGCTTAAAAATTGTTGGAGGAATATGAACAGCATAAAGTGAGGCAGAGGCTAGAAAAAACCAAAAGTCCTGTACCACTTAAACTTGCCTGTCCTGGGGCTGTACATCCCCGTGTACCATGGGCTACATGTGCAGGGCACTCATTGCTGGGTCAGCACCCACAGCTGTGCAAGAGTAACACGGMAGTGACACAGGTGACACAGCTCACCTGCAAGGATAAGAAAACACCTTTTTGCAGAGTTAACCTGCTCACAGCATTGTGGCTGCAGCCACCACCTCCAGAGGTCCCCTGAGAGCATTGCTGCTGGAATTGTGGGGAAGAAGGGCTGCACAGTCTTATTTTCCCAGACAGAATAAGAGCTCTCTGTCYGAGGGAGAGAAAGGGCTTTGCTGAGCTCATCCTAGGACAAGAGGGCCCTATGGTGGCACTGAGGCCTGAAGTGTGTGCCACCAGCACTGCCTTGGACATGGAGCAGAACACGCAGAGTGGTGGCACCCTGCTCCCCACCACAGCCTCTGGCCTCGCCTGTGAAAGCAAAAGCAAAAGTTTGAGATGCTGGAAAGCACAGGCTGACCAAGGCTTGAGCCCATCATTGCTTTTTCTGTATGTCAAAAGAAAAAAAAATCGAAGAAGTACAACCACGGGCTCCAAAAGCCACTCTCAGCACCTCAGACAGGTGACAGAAAGAAAGGTTTTCAAAAGAGCTTGCTTCGGGAGTGCTGATGTGTTAGGRAGCTGCAAAAGAGCTGTCAGCTGAAAAAATGACGTGGATAGTTAAGGGTACAACTTAGGAGAGGGATTTGATATGTAATTAGCAGCAGGAAAAGTAAATGCAGCTCCAAGCACACAAGCAGGTATACATGTAGAGCCAACTTAGAACTTGCAAACAGCCCATCTTTTTCATACACAAACATATTCAAACTAGAATTTTCTTCATCATATTTATTACCTTTTGATTAAAACTGAGAGAAATGCTGTTTTTCTGTTTTCTAAAAGAAAGAAATCACCACATGACTCCAAGTTCTTGAAAACTATTGACCAGAATCTTGTTTGGCATAACTCAACCTCATTMTTACAGGATCATAGTTATCACAGGATCATAGAATTACAGATTTGTTTGCATTGGAAGGGCCCTCAAAGACAGGCTAGTGTAACCCCTCTGCCATAGGCAAGGACAACATCCACTAGACTAGGTTGCTCAAAGTCCCATCCAACTTGGCCTTGAACAATTCCAGGGATGGGGTATCACTTCCAGCTTCTCTGGATAATCTRTTCCAGTGCCTCACCAGCTTCTTAGTGAAGAATTTCTTCCTAATATCTAATCTGAAGCTTCTTTCAGTTTAAAAGTACATTGACATCTACAAAGCAGAGTGTCTTTACCCCAGCTTAAGATTTTTTCCCATATGCTGTTTCTTCAGATCAATTTGTCTTCCTCTTTTTCATATTTTTTTCTCTTTTTTTTCCACAATATGCATCTGGTTTAAGGTGACTTTTTCTTTCCCAGCATTTGGAGCTGAATGATTATGATGATTTAGATTTATTTTAAATCACAGCCTATTAAATGGAAAAAATAAAAGCTAATATGTTGATATGGTTTGCTTCTGAATGAATTATTGATATGAATTAGTAGTTGCTGCTATCATAATTACTCTTTATTAAATAAATATATTTTGAATTAGAGATCCTTGATTAAGAAATCACTTTTTTGTCTGAAAATTGTTTCCCTGCTGCTAGTATAAGAAATACCTCACATTACTCTATGGAGAAAAAAAAAAGCGCCAATGAAATTATTCTATTTTTTATCTTTTCCTTTGCTCTGTGAACTTGGCAGTGCTTTGTGCATATTCCCTTTCACTGCTTCTCTCCTCTAATCAGTTAAGTGAGGCTCTTTCCCCTCTGTTGTTTGTGTGGATCTGTCACATAGCACCTAGAGACAGAAAAAAAAAACATTTTAAATAGGAAAACGCAAAACACAAAAACTAAAGGATTGAGGATCAGATACCTGAAACTCCTCTCAACATTTTCTTTCAAGCTGAGCACGCTTCAGATTAATGGTGACTCTTTAACATAAATAATGATCTAATGAAATAAATATGAAATCGAAAGAATCATAAAAAGAATTTTACATTTAAGAATGCCATCTGTGTAACACTTAGCCTAACAATGAAATCATTTCGGTGCCAAAACAGCTCACTCCGCTTCCAGCACAAGTTGCAGGAGAGGGTAATGGCTTTGCAGAATGGCATAAAAGTCTGACTTCAATCACGGTAGGAACACCTGGGTTCAAACTCACTCTGCTTCACCCAGACAATGTTATCTCACACGTGAGTTTTGAACTGGCCCCTRCTAGCGCTTCCACCTTGAGACATCATGAATTTTTTGCAAAGCTGATGATTTTTATTGCAAGGGAATTTAGATATCAGAGGAGAAGATTTTGTGGGTCAGTGTGAGGGGATCTTGCAACAACTATTACACCAATTCTCTGCTTTCCAACTGTGAAATCCAGAGTCAGTATTGTCTGACTGAAGTGCACAGGACTCAGAAACAAGACCCTGCTTAAGTATATCCGTAGCAAGAAAAATTCCCTTATAAAGCACTCAGGACTTAACACCAGACCTTTTATCAGTATTTMGGACCAGCGTTCTAAGCCCCAGGTCTGTCTGGGCATGCCTTGGGAAGCTTTCCGTGTCACAGGATGGAGATGCTGTTTTTGTGAACAGGGAAGCCAAGCTCTTGCCATGTGCAAGGCGGCGCAGCAGAGCCATGCAGAACACAATGGAGATTGTTTGTTTATACCAGCCAAAGAGAAGGGAACATATTTGTTTTGAGTGAGCTGTGTTAGAATACATATTGTTTTATATGCCCAGGCCTCATTACGCCATGCTAGTCTTCAATATGGATCAAATCTTAAAACGGCTCGACATACTGGAATAAATGTGAGTTCTACCCACAGAACATCTCCAGACTTAGGCCTCATGTCTGTCAATGTCATCTCAAAAAAACAAATGTTCAAAGAAGAAAAACAACAAAAGTATCTTAGAGACTGTGGAGGATGCTCACGTGTGGTAGATGCCATTCAAGGGGATGCTAAGGAATTACTTGGAGAGAGAAAAATTCACATAGCAAGACTGGAGAAAAGAGCAGGCCTGAAAAAAAAAGRAGAGAGAGTTAAGTTTCACTGAAAGAAATATTCCTCTTTTGCATTTTAGAAGTTACTCTGAGAACGAGGGGAAATTCTTCCTTCACATTAGTGATGCAGCCACATTAACATCTCCTCAGGCAAAGGTGGTCACRGCTCATATTTTGCTTAAAGATATAATCGTGAGGGGATTCACAGAGGAAGAGTTAAAGTGCTGTTCAATAAACAACCTGAAGTGCTGTATGTTGTATTCATATAAGGAAAGGTATGAGCCAACGGAGAGAGATGTTCAGCTGCAATCAAAGAGGATCTGAGCCTAACTGAGCACTCACATGACAGTTGGGATCATTTCGGATCCCTTCCAATGAAGATAAAATAGCATCAAAAGCAGGGAGGCTTTTTTCCTTTCTTTTAAGGATGAAAACACAACATCATTAGTCAAATTTACTCTGAACTTCCACCTCCTCATGTTGATTTGTACTCAGGTTCAGTAAACATATCTTTCCATCAAGGTAAATAAATGTAAAAGCCCATCAGTAACTTAATTGCTTAACGGTGGATGCAGCGCGGGGTGTAACACTGTTTCTGACTATACTGTTGAAGTTAACGACCTCTCAAAAACACCTATTATACAGTGTGGCAGTAAAAAAAATCTGTTCCTTCATGAAAATCTGCTTATAAAATTTCAACCATTWTTTTCCTGGTAGTGGGGAGGGGTGGAAACCTCTGAGGACAATTTTTCAGGTGGACTGATGTGAAACAGAGTTTATTTATTTGAGACGGCATCCTCTGTGGGCCTGCATGACCCAGGAAAATCAGGCTTCAGAGAAGTGGGGAGTCCACAGTAATGGCAAAAGTTACACAGCCTGGGGAAAATATCTCCAAATTAAAATGCCCATGGTTCTGAGTGGCACCATTTGCTGGGAGGGGTGGAGGGCTCAGACTGCAGGTGTCAGGCAGGAGCCTGATCTGGCATGCGCAGCACACACCTAGGGACATCTGGGAATGTGCCCTCCTCCTCTGTCCCTGCACACCTAGAGCCCTGGATTGAGAGGACCCACGGGAGAAAGCAGTCGTTCCCATTAAAACTGAGCCATTTAACAGAGGTGAAGGCAAAATCAGCTCTCYAGTGAGAGAGCAGTGAGGGAGGAGGGAACGCCAAGTGTCTGAGAGTGAAATCTGGCTCATGGTGGGCAGGCAGGCACAGTACAGAGGCACAGCTGCCAGCCTGACATGATGGATCAGAAGAGCTACTAAGGAGCTGTGAGAGTCCAGGCAATTGAAACAAAGCAAAACAMGAAAAGGCAATAGGTCAGACCTTCTTTACAATCTATCAATTAAACAATCATCCACTTCCAAAAGAGTATGATGTCCTAAACAGTAGACATCCCAGCACGTGATTGCTACTGTGATAGAGGGACAGGCTCACCAAAAGGAATTAATAATAATAATCACTAGGAGCGCTAATAATTTAGTTGAAGTTTTTCTGTAGTGAACCCCTCTGAGGAAATAACATGGTTGGGCATTTTGGCTCAATTCTATAGTCCCATACCAGCTTTACTCCACCCACTGGAAAACAAAGGGGTGTTCAAATCTGTCCATTACATGGGAAGCTTGYGCCAAAATCTCGCCCTCCTTCAGTTAGGCAGCAGTGGTGAGTGCCACGGAGTCGGCTTCAGCTGCTTCCTCCAAAATCCTGAAGCTTTCAGAAATATTCATTTCTGCTGGCATCACTCAACAGCTCATTGTTAGGATTTGTTCTCACTGGCATGCATGAACCGWGACTGATGCACAGGGTGATCCAGACTCACTGCCTTCAGCCCCAGAAGTGGATACCTGCTTCCCTTAGAGTCCATGGACTTACACTTGACTCAGAAGGATATATGCAAAAATTATCTTTCCTCTCTCATTTGCGTGTGTTAAGGCTAAGTGTGTTCAGCCAAATTAGCAATCAGGCAAACTGCACATGAAGAAATCTGCACTTGTACAAACTGTGCATTTTTTTTGTAACATTCCAAGATTAAATATCTTGACAAAAGATGAAAACCCTTTAAGAAATCTGCCCCTAGAGAAAAGTAACATTTTTTTATTCCATTTACTGTCAAATGACATATAGTTGAACACTGTCCTATAGGTTGATTTGTTGCTTTAAATAATGTCACTAACATCCAGATATCAATGTGGTGGTGCAGAAAAAAGGGTTCACATTGAGCTAGATTCAATTACAGACCTAGAAATTGAAATTAACTCTGATGCTACATGCTTAATTCATGTTTGTGTGAGTGAGAAAGGGGGTATCTGGTTTACCTTGAATTTCCTGCCTTAGTGCGGTGAAAACATGACCCATCGCATTAATTAAAAAATAGTTTTCAAATGTAACTTAAGTGGTATTTCAGTGGCAGGAGCAGACAAACACCTTTTTGTCCTTGACATGTTATGTGATATAAAGGAAGCTCTTCAATAGCTTTTTCCTCGATTCCAAGGTATGTCTTACAATTCTCACTGAAGAACAGGAAAAAGGTATGATGACGTCTTACAACGAGAAGCCAAACATTCCACTTCACTAAAAAAAMAAATTAAGTATTTGTCCCTCAAAACCCATAACCCTCTTCTGACCACATTGTTTAAACAGGTGTCTGTAGGCAGTTATCACACATGTTACACAGGTCTGCATTTATCTCATTTGAGYGTTATACGCGGGTTGGTATGTTCATGCTTAGTACCCCAAAATGCTATATCGTAGCAGTGGACTTTCAACCAGCACGCATTTGACTACTGATTCCACATATGCGGCTGGGACTAACTTTTCTCCTAATATGGTGATGGCACAGGCACTATTTAAATGATTCCTGAGCCTTGTAAATATACACCAGATGTATCTTTTGTAAATGTTACATTTTGCAACATCTCAGCATTTGTGAATAGTTGAAAGCGATGCCAGCCATGCTTTAATGGGGCACAGAAGCGTACTGCATTCAAAGTAATGGCACACCATCGCAATAGTCAAAATTACAAGTGCTGTCAAAAAGCTATATTTTTGTTTTATTGATTAGCACCAGGTAACTCAGCGCTTCACATCCTACCTTCATTTGTGTCTGTTTCAGCTGACGATGTTTTGCTGCACATGGATAACACAGAGAGGGATKTCGAACTTCCAGGGCTGCCCAGGGGGAAACGAAGGGCAGAGAGTCCTGGAGAGCCACCTGAGCCCCCTCAGCCACTGTGAAGGTCAGAGGTGGAGGCAGAAGAGCTAAGGGGGCTGCCACTGCTGCAGCCGTGGTCACCACCCACTGCCACCGGGATGTGCTCACCATCCCAGAGCTGAGGAGGGAACAAAGCTCACCTTTCCCACTGGTTCTGATACACTTTGAAGCTATGTTACACTTTTCTGCCGCTCAGGCTCCTGCTGCTTGGTTCTCCCTTGTTGCAGCGATAACTCAGTATCAGGGAGAAATATCTCCAGTTAGAGACCTCTCCTGGAGCGCCGGGTGAATTCAGCTATAAGGAGCTGTCCCCTGGGCTTTTCCAATTCTCTCTTTTTCCCTAAGCTTTTCCTGGCTTTCCCGTGTCACTGTAGAAATCTCACAAAAGACCCAGGAGCACATGCGTAACAGGTTATGGGAAATGTGCCCGCCGCACCTTCTACCTCTTGGCACTTGGCCCTACCCATCACCATCCCACCCAGACTGCCCCCATGGTGTTCCTGTTAGCACCAGGCAGTAAAAGGAGCTGTCAGAAATAAGCCATGGCATTTGCCTGAAAATGCACATTTTTGCAAGATGTGCCCCCCAACTGTCCCACAGATAAGAGGAAAGACCTTTCTAATATGACACAATTACTAATATTTGCAAGGCAGAGTGCTTTTGCTCAGTGAATTTTGTGCTGGAATTGCACCCTGCGACTCAGTTCAGCAAATCAGCTAAAATCAGAGCTAGGTGACACAGGACAATAAACTTAGAGGGAATGGACTAGACATAATGCCCCACTGCAAGTATTATTTCCAAGTTCACAGGCTTGCAAATTAAAATGTCCCTGGATCACTGCCATAAAAAAAGAACATTAAAAATCAGGGGAAGAGGTCTGGGCATCTGTTAGAAGCATCTAATATATACCAAATGTGTATGCTGAGCTTCTTAGATATATGCATTGCTGAAATATAGCCTATGATTAATGTGAAAGCAGAAATATTTTAATTGTATTTTTCCATTTGATATTCAAATGAAAAAAATATATCTTATTAAACACAACACTTGGCTTTGCTATTTTAATAAAAAATAAGTTGTTGAGGAAAAGAAAAGCAAAACTACTGATTCCTTTCCTTATGATGATCAAATGAGCCTTTCATGTTTGTATCTTATACTTCACTTTTTAGCATTTTGAGGCAAATAGCAGATATCAAAACTTAGTAAATAATCAAAGACTTATTCAGTTTTCCAAACTGTCATGCTGCTTATCTTGTAATAACTGATCTCTTAGGTAGCATAAGCTATTTAATTGCTACTGAAGATTATTTGAATGAAAAAAGAGACGACATTCTCCCTTACCCCTCAAAAAGACAAAACTATATTCTTCAAAAAGACACATGCCGACAGATAGATTCTGATCTCTTCTACACATGCACAAGTGCAGTAGCTAATTTTACAAGATTTGATAGGAGCTGCATATCTGAGATTACACCCTGTCCTCCAGACTGMACATTCCACATGGAAAATGACTTAATTTGGAAATAAATTTTGTTGCTGATAAATCCAGACTCTCAAGTCTCTGGGCATCCAAAGAACCAAACCTATTAAATTATTTTTAAAAACAGCTACTGCATTTTAAAGGGACTTTTTACAGTGTTGGCAAAGTGCGTATTCATGTATCCCTCCTGACATGATAGACTGTAATGGCTCCAGTCTGTCATGTCAACCATCTGCATATTAAACAGTCCCTAAGTACACATTGACACAGCAGACCCTAATAGCTCTGAAGCTGTAACAATCTATTGAGTCAATAATATGCATGTTAAAGAGCATCTCCTGTACTTCCATCAATATCTTTTATCTTTTCCTTAATTTTTATCTTTTTTTTTATATGTCTATTCAGAGTTAAAGTTTTAGGAACCTTTATCCTTTGACGTGCTGCCACAGACGTGAAACATGTGGCACAGAGAGGCATACTCAGTAGCAAAATCCTTCCCTAGTATTGGGGCCAGACCTTGAAATAAGGGCTGTAATATTTTTATACTAACAGTGCCCATTCTTCCAGATAAGGTGGAAATAGCCCCTCTTTCCTGATGGGCTGGACCCAGTGCTGGTGAAAAGCCCAGGAAATGTTCCTGATGATTTCACAGGCTTTGGATGGAGCCCAGTGTGATGATACTCATTTCCTATTATACATTTCCTTCTAATTAAATGAAATAGGTCACAGGGGGAGAATGAAACAAAAGACAAATGTATTTACTTACAGTAATATCAACCCCCCAAAAATGGCAATCAAAAACAAGAGAAAAGATAATACAAAACATACTGTCTCTTCATTAACTTGAAATTATGTCTGGTACCACAGTTTTAATTCATTCCTGTGTGATCTTGGGATCTTTTATACCATAGAAGAGGGAGGTTGTTATTTAAGCATAAGAAAATGAGAACGTAACTTCTTTTGTCTAAATAACTCRAAGAAAAAATCTAATTTTCTTTTGTTCAACTTCACATCACCATACCATGCCGCAATCCCCTCATACCCTGATCACAGGACTTTCCCATCTTCTTCCAATCTTCTTGCTTTCTCTAAGCATCACAATTTGGCTCACACTTTTAAAAGTGAAACCAAAGTACAATTTGTGTTTCCAAAATGTAGACCCGAGGACAGGGAGGTCACTTGACCCTATCAGCAGATCTTAGCTGTCCTAAATTCCCTTCTCCTTTCCATTAATTTGATACCGATGTATCTTTAATGCACATAGGGATTTATTCCAGCATATTCTTGATTAACTTTCACTCCAGTGAGGGCAGAATCATGGTACTCTCGCTATTGCTTTCCAGGAGCGTGCAATTCATCCTACCCCTTTCTTGTACCATTCCATGTCTCCAGGCACACCAGAGCAGATCATCTACTTCTGTGCCTCATTCAGTGCAGCACCCCTAACTGCATGACAAGCACTGAAGGCACCTGCCTTCTATTAAGTCCTTGGCAAATTTCACAGCCAGCAGGCTTTTCTTCCCAATGCAATGGCAGGGAAGTCGATCAGATGCCTATATGAGTGCCCAGGGATTTGTCCAACCATGAGGCAGGTCCTCAAAGCCTCAGACTAGTGCACAAACTTGATCTTATGTGTGTTATCTACTCAGGATGTGATCAGGACAGAAATTTCTAAACTATGGATAATACAGTACTCACAAAGCCACAGTAGTCATCATTTGACCTTTTTTACTGAAGTTATAGCAAGCAGATTTAGTTTTAGGCAGGCTATGTTTTCTTCCTAAATGAAAAAAAGAAAGGTACTGAAAAAACTAAGCAAATTAACAAAACCTAAAGAATGAATGCCATTAAAACAAAACAATAACAAAAAAAAAAAAAAAAAAAAAAMAAAAAAAAACAAAAAAAAAAARAAGTCCTGCTGTGTTGCCTGTATTTCCTTTAGTTGAGGGAGGTAGCCCCAGTGTAGCTCCAGATGGGCTTGTTCCTGGCAGAAATGGTTCATTGTCAACTACTTTCTGATGTAGTACAACCCTCTCTCTACAATATTATGGGTCCATTTGAGGAAATGGAGACCTCTCTGGACCTCTTGCAGGAGCTTCCTTTTGCTTCCACTCTGCTACCTGCTGTGTAGCAACCCAAAAGCCTAGACCAGTCCAGCCCTGGTGAAGGTAGGAACATCACACAGCAACCACACAGCAGATCTGGATAATTTATAGCATCCCTTGCTTCTCYGACATTTCTGCTTGTGCCGGATGAGCCCTGCAGGCTTCCCAGAACTTAACAGAATTACCAAGCAATGGTAAAGAAGGATGGGAGGAGGACTGCTGGCCACCCAGCCCTTTAACACAAATCCTCTGCACTAAGGATGACTGGTTTGGGTAACACTCACCCTGGATGGCTAGTGCTTCCAGGAACTGTTCCAGTGATCCAAGTGGATAGGTCACCCAGTCCAACTTTATGGACTTAGAGCAACCAATACCTGCCACCAGGCAAAAGTGCCACTAGCCTTGATCCATGAATGAGATAGGCGAGGGTGATGAAGGGAGGGCAAGTGAAAGAAACACAATGCTGTAGGTGAAGTTCTCCATGTTCCCCCAGCAACCCTCCCATGTGTGCTGCAAATGCAAGATGGGCTCACTTCCTGCTGCCTTGGTCCCCTCCCTCCTGCACAACTTGTTCCATKCCCAGCTGCAGCTGATCCTACCTCAGGCTAGCCTGACCCTGAAGGGAAACATTCCCAATTACTTCAGTGAAGAGCGCTCTGTCTCCTCAGGCAAATGTAGGAAAGCAAAATTCGGGTAGGGCAATGATTTCACTGACTATGTGCATTGCATGTCTCCTTTCCTACACAGAGGATCGCTGGCCACCCTTCCCACTTTTTTGGTTCTCAGTGTTCATCACTGCACCTGGAGTTATCTCCCATTTACCAGGGAGTTGATTTAAGTGTCTGACTCAGTCACATATGTTTGGCTCCCTTATTCAGAGTAAGATTTGGCCTACTAGCTGTGAAAACAGCTTATATCACATGTGCTGCAAAGCCTAGCCAGAACAGGCTGAATAAAGGATGAAGTTTAATCATGGAAATGTTGACCTACAAATAGAGAACAAAATGTTAAACCACATGGTATAGAGTGCTGCATGCCCCAAATATCAAGGAGAGGAAAGAAGAATTGAACACATTTGGAAAGTAAAGCTTACTGTTTGGGGTTTGATTTTTTTTTTTTTTTTTTTCTGCATATTCGGAGAGTCAGACCCACACTGTTCCCGCTCGCGATGACACCCTGGCATCTGAAGAACAACATGACACCCACCACAAAATGCTGCTGTTGGCTGGCGCCGCCTAAAGCAGCAAGGTTTGGTGAGGGAGGTGAGACTGCCAAAGGCATGCGAGTGGGGGTGTCACAGAGAGTGGGACCCGGCCACCAGAGTGACTCCAGTCTATGGGACTTGTACAAACCAGGGAGAGGTAAATGTGACAAGGATTAAGACCCCTTTTTGTCCTGTGTCCTTGAAAAGTAGTCCTGGGTTACCTCTTAAAGCTGGGGCGTGGGGGGAAAGGTTGTCATTATTTACAATCCACCTTTCAGCTGGGACATCCTCACCTTTGTGGGTTTCACACAAAGAAGGGCAGTGTTTTTGRCAGAGAATCCATTTCCATTTTTAATCACAGCCATCACACAAACAGTTCATCTCACAGGATGGGAAAMCTTTCTCATAGGCTTTATTTAACATAAATTTGGGTGTTCCAAAGGACAAAGAATAAATTTTTTAATCAATCATCTTGCTTTCAATAACTGATTGGCTTTGTCTTTAGGTACACTAAATTTTACATAAACATAGTTAACAGCAGCCGGCCAGGCCTTACTGACTGACAACTGTTCTTTACAGGATTTCTGTGTGCCAAGGAGCTGGACAGTAATATCCATTTGGTATKCATGGAAAGTACTTGCAGAACAATAATGACAATAATTGCTTCTGATTCTTGTGTTTACAACACTGCCAAAGTATCATTAGAGCCTTATTTATAGATAATAATGCTTATTAATCACACATATTTGAATTTTGGAATGTATTAGATTAATATTCTTTTGTAACTTGGTTCTGTACTAATGCTATGAAAAGCACTTTCTGGATGCAGTCCACTGGGAAGTGCTTGCCTCAGTAAAGTAAAAGCATCCAAGCCATCTGCAGGTGAGGGACAAAGGGCATACCTCTTCCTCAGCAGGCAAACACCAAGGCTGGACATGCCAGTTCCAAAAGCAGATCCTCTGGATTAAAATCAGGGGCAGACTCCTGAAAAAAATATCGTGAAAGGTGTGATAATAGTGTTGTGCTTGAGCTTGCTTTCTGATGCTCTATGAAAAGGTTTGCTTTCTACTGTTTAATAAAGAAATTGAGTTTGGAAGGTAAGGAATCGAGCCATCTATCATCTCACTCTCTAACAGCCCATTCTACCCCATGGGTGAGTTTAGCCTGGATCTCAGGATTCCTTATCAGTCAAGAGGTTGGAAATGAGAAATATGCTACAAAAACACTCCTGATTTTGGTTATCAAATAATTCCAGCTTTTCTATATCAGCACCCTCTACAATTCAATAGCATGATAGAAGGAAAATAGATTTTTTAAAAAGACATTTACAACAAGCGAAAGTGCCACCAAAATCTAAATACCAACTGCCATAAATTCATGTCCTCCTTTGTTTCCCTGTAGCCCATTACAATGCTGAAAAATACACCAAAGCAACTGCAGTACCAAACTCTCCAATTTTTGGTGTGTGACCATCTCCATAAATTTGTGTTTAAATAAATAAAATCCAGAACAGCATATAATGTTTAATTATTAGTGGCAGTAGTAGTAGTAGTATTTTCTTCGAGATAGTTCTTCAAGCAAATTTACAGAGGCTCTGTCAGTTTRGAGATGACATTTCCATCTGTTTGGTTGTTTTTTTCCTTTTTACCCAATGCTGATGTAATGTAACTAACACCAGAAAGTAGAGAAACTGGGAAGTGGGGGAGCTGGTGCAGTATTTTATTCTGTGAGTCTATTTTGTGGTTTTTATGGTGCACTTTSTACAGTGAGGATAACCTGTTACTGAGTGTCACAGCACCATTGTCTCCAGGGATCTTTTACAACGCAGAAAAAAAAAAAAAAAAAGAAATCATTAAAACACAGAAGATTTAAATTGTGAAGAACACTTGTGGCTTTGCTGCAACTCCCCCAAGCTGCCCCTAGCCGATATGTTTTAACAGACAAAATTACAAAGTGATGTTGTGCCTTTAAAACGAGTTTCACCTATTAATATTCCAGTGTGCTTCGCTTGCTGTGTTTAGAAAATGCCAGTATTGAGAGTATTGAAATTTCCCAGGAATTCCAAACCTAGCAAGACAGCCAGTGCTGAGCAAAGCCCAATTGTTTCTAGATGAAGCCAGGATTTAAAATTTAAAAAACCCTAATGGAGAGATTAGATATGAAACCAAAGCGCAAAGTTGGCGTCGGGATGCGGAGGGAAGCCCCGTCCTTACGGGTTCCACACAACAAAGCGGCGCACCCCTCCCATGCCAGAGACCACAGCTCCTGCTGGGGGCTGTGGGGCCACCTTGTCCTGGGCATTGCTGGGAGGAGGGTCATACCTTCAACCACCACTTGCAGACAAAGGAATTATTCCCCAAGTGTGGGCAATGGAGGTGCACAGACCTTTGGATTGGGCTGCTCCTTTCCCACTTGCAGCTCAATACCATCCAGCCAAAACTGGCCCCAAAATTTGACAGTGCTGCACTGAGGGGACTTTGATCGACAACCAATCATGGTTTTTGGTTCTCCTGCTAGTCCACTTCTGAAAAGAAGACCCATTGCCCCAGGTGCACACAATCTGCTGCAGCATTCACTGGCACAGAGGAGTCTACGGATACTCTCCTCTTCCCAGCCGTGGGTGGCTCCTTGACGTGTTTGCTTTATTTTCCTCAGGTTTCAGAGTGTCACAGTGCAAAAAGCTGTCCCTCTAACAGGTCTTTGAAATTTTCATCTTATTCTTTCCTAACAGTAATAAAAATAGCTGGAAGAGCTCAGTGCAAGGATCCTAATTTCAGAAAGTCAAATCAGCAGCATATAAAATCATAATTCACACTATGCAGATTACAGACTTCTTATTTTCTTAATTGAGTAGTGAACAATAATTTCTAATATTTCTGTCTGGGTTTTTTTCAGGAGTAGTGGTTTAATAAAAAACGTACTGAAAGTATTCCATACAAAGGAACACTTCTACCTCTTAGAAGAAAAAGCCAAAGCAACGAGTTGTCACATGAGGAAAGGTAGGTTTGCACCTTGTATTCATATGGCTGAAYGCTAAACCTACACAAAGATAAAAACAGACATTTCCAGCTAGAGAATTTTACCATTTTTAATAGCCAGAGGTATGCAAGTCAGATTTCTCTGTCAATATTTGACTTTCTAATGAGAAATGGGCCTTTTTTTTTTTTTTTTTAATACTGAGTTTTCGCAGTTTTCACTGAAGTCAAATGAAGGGATAAATGTCCAATGTCCTTGAAAAATAGTCACTTTCCTGCAGTATCCCAATATCCCTTTTCCGTGCCTATATGAATTCTCAGTATGAAAAAGCTGGTCTTCCTGCACAAAATAAGTAGATGAACATACAAACCAGAAACTTCAGCATGAATCAGAGTATGCAAAATCAAGTCTCAAGTAAAACCCAAAACAAGCAAACAAACAGCAAAAATAACCTTCCTAATACTGAGTGGAGTTACTACAAGTTACATTTTTGGATTTATAGATATGGGATAGGAAAATCAAGACAGGGAAGTTTTGACTGGCTTGTTCACTAACCATATCTCAGTGGTCACACCACATTAAAAAGGAAAATTCAACTAGAAAACTTCTAAACATAGAGAAAGTTTCAAAAGAGTCTTTTTATAGTATCATTTTATTTGCYATACTTCTCATTAGGACAATATTATTCTGCTTGCATTTAACACTGGATTTTTTATCAAATAATTATTCTTTCTATTATCAGATTGCATGATTGTTGTGTATTTATCCCTCCAGATATGTATCACGAATATTTCTCTTCCTTAGTTTTATATTATATAAAGCTGCTAAAGTTTGGAATTTGAAGTTTCCCATCATCTTCATAGAACTGTAAGACACAAGCAGGAATGGAAATAAAAATGCATCTTTTCATCAAGTAGTCTGCTAACCATAAGGAGAAAAAATAAGCATTGTATATTTCTAAATAGTCCTCCAGGAGTCTTGTACTTTTACTATGTGCTATATACCGTATGGTTTCTCCCCCTGTTATGACATCTCTGATTACTTTGAAAAAAACTCTCAAAAATGTTAAGGCACAAACCTTTGTATGGAATACTTTTAGTACGCTTTTTATCCTGACAAGATTAATAATTATCCTATAAGCATGACACAGTGTTTTAAAATGTTTTTTTCTGCTATGAGTTCAGATTGTGCACATAAATGAGGAAAGAAAGRTTATTTCACAGCACAGAAATGTATATTTAAACAAACTGTGATTAAATGGTAAAACTGCTTAAAAAGAAAAAGCATGGTGGTTTTTTTTCCTCATCACAGTTATTCTGAATTTAAAATATCTGTAGTGAGTTTCCAAGAACACTGGGCATTTGTAATGGAAACACAAGCTACTGAAATTAATGGGTGATAATTTAGAGAACCATAGCAAATATCCCAGGGCTTTGGCCAAAACTGGACCAAAAGAGATCTGCTTTGTGTGGCAAGTGACAACTGTGTCCCCTCCCCACCACCACCAACCCATCTTCTACTGTGGCACCTGCAACTAGCTCGTAATGTGAGCGACTGGCTATGCAGGAAGCAGGCTATGGACTGACCAGACTTTTGCTGCCCTTCAACAGGACACTTCACAAGTGCCTACGGCCCTCGTGGCAGCCTTAATCTTTCCCAGAACACACAGCTGCCCTTTCACACAAAGCTCATATGTGTCCAGCACTTCCCATGGATTTAAAGACCCAAGTATGGGGTTTTTTTTGATCGTTCGAAATGCCCAGTAATATGTGTCCCACGTACCAGTCATGTGTACTGACCACAATTATTGCTGGCCTGGTTCACTGGAGTCAAGATGTAACTCAGAAGGCTGAGGTATAAAGGCATAGCCAATGTGGCCCTCAGGCCTAACTCTACTCACATCAAATAAATGCAAAAGTAATCTCCCCATTGATATTAAGGCCTAATGGAAATACTTCAAGGAGCAGACTGAGAGCTAGATCCTGCTCATTCCAATGAAACATAACTGCAGGTGGTTTCAATTCATGGGACAAACAGGATTTGGCCCATTTTGAGCTGCACAGKTTTGGCTTCCAGAGGTTGAGCTGTGCCTGCTCGTTGGAGAAGGACAGCGAAGTATTGGAGCCAATAGACCTTGAACTAAGGAGAGGACTACGGGTAACACATTGTCTGCACTTAAACAGATGGCAAGGCAAGCAGTGCCACCCAATTTGCCCCTGAGTTTTAACGCTGGGCTTCAACCATGGCATAGTCTTCCTACTAACTTTACTTGCCGGAGTAATTTTAAAATAACTTAATGCCAAGTGCCAGAGGGTTCACTTTCTCACAACATTAAACTGAATCGTGTCAATTCCCATTCTAAATATAAAATATAATTGCATTACTTGACTTCATACTTTTTATAAAGGTCCCGTTGTGGTGGGGTTTCACAAGGTATAAAAGCCCATGCAGGTATTATGAGCCATGTCAGTCCACTTCATCTAATTAATCAGCTACTTTAATATGTTTTCCTTGCACTGCAGTAGAAAAAATAAAATAAGTGTTCTTTTTTACCATTTCCAAAATTAGATTCATATTCCATAATGACCATATTTCATGTGCAAAATAACAAGATATGCTTACATACCTGACTTCCTTTCTTTAGTGAATTGCTTCATTTGTAAAATGTTGCATACAAGATTGGAACCTAAAATGAATTACTTGGTTCTTCTTGATATGAAATCTTGTTTAAGTTCACAGCAATTTTAAATATGATACATTTAAAATATTAATATTTCCCATATATTATTCACTGACTTTCAGGTTTCATCTCAAGTTAGTGGCACTTCATATTTCAAAGGAAGAACTGTTTCTTTTTTTCAGTACTAATGTTCTATTAATTCACTTTGTAATATYATTCTGGTTCAGACAAATAAAATTGCACTAAATTGCTTATGCCAAGAATCGTGCTAAAGTTGTTGGCACTATATAAAATTCCAGATTCCATTATTATTTTATAAGTTTTTTATATCAGTAGCGTCTTTTTAGGCATAATTCATAGTCCCATTAAGTTAGTTCTAGAAGGACAAGTACATGCAGAGGGATTTTTATGCTGAGATGGGGGTGTATGTAGGTATTTACAGTAAAGTCTGTAACTTAAGTGACTTTTGCAATGCACCAGATACAAACTCACAGTGAACTACCTTAACAGTTTTTCTTTTATGATCATTTTTTATTTTGGGCAGTTTTCTCTTCCAGCATGTTTTTCATCACACACATGTATAAACACATACGTACACACACACACACATTTGTGAAAAATAAATTTGTGTGCGTACTGAAATACTTGGAAGGCCTCATATGCATATTATGCAACATATGCCATTCATATAATCGCTACATACAAAACTTCATTTTATAGATACCAGTAAAATATGTGAAAGAAGTCCTTAAAGGATCCATAAAGGCCTCAATGCAGATGGATTCTTCATCACATCCAAAGAACTGAAAGAATCATGGATATAAGCCAATCTTTTTATATGTCCATGTATATTTTATACTCGTTCCATAAAGTCCACATGGCCACATAGCTATTTCCAGAGATGTGGATGAAAGTTATACCTGGATAAGATGAAAACTCTTTAATGAGTAAAGTAGCATCTAATCCTATTAAATGCCTTGCTGGAGTGAAATAATTACAAAGCGCTGGAGCAAGAGTAGCAAACAGCAATAAAATCACCTGCAAATAGATGTGAATAACTATAAGTACACCTCAGTATTTGTCTAGTCAACTTTCTCTGACTGTCATCAAAATCAGATTTTCAGGAGGCAGAAATCCAACTCCAAAGAATGCAGACTAATACATATATGTGAATATATAGTCTGTGACTAAGTTTGCAATATTGTTAATAATGTATGCTCCTTTTTTAACGGTTAGTATTTGCTCCCTCTGCAATTTTAAAAATAAGAAATTTTTTTTTGTTAAATTTGATCCAACTCTTTTAAAAAAATAAATTGCAGAATAACTGATGCAAATCCCTGTCACTTGTGAACACAATGAAATTATACAGAAAGGAGCAAATGCAGCAGAGGCTCCTCCTCAAAAATAGAAATGAATGCCCTGTTCCTATGCGGTCCTCAAATGGCAGGATTTTGAAACATGAATTAGACCTCGAATGCAAATTAACTTCAGAAGGGAGGGAGAGGGAAAAAAAAAAAAACCAGAGAGAGAGAGACATACCAAGTCAAACGCTCCTTTTCCTGCCTATCTCGTCCGCAATGGTAAAATAGGCTAAACAAAACAAGTGCACATCAAGATAGAGCCAATTAAGGAATAGAGGGGGGGGGTGGGGGGGTGGTAGAGGGTGGAGAGGAAGGCACCTCACGGAGCACATGGGGAGTGGGAGCGCAGCATCCCACCATACCTACCTTATGAGTGTTCAAAGGAAGACAACTGGGGTAAATTGGAACCAGCTTTGATTTTTGCCATCCGGTTGCACCCGGCAATGCGGGGGAGTGGGGTGGGGCGGAAGGGTCGGTCTGGGCGGAGGTAGACGGGCGATTAAAAAAGTGGGGGGAAATACTAAAGAATGGTGCCAAACGCTATGCAAACGGTTGGGCG